CCCACAACAACCATTAGATCTCGGCCGTGAAAGCCTTCACAAATACATTTAACACATTGCTTCATTGGGTGTGTGTGTTTCCACATAATCTCTTACATTCTGAGTTATGTACAATTTGATCCAGAGGTTCAGCATGAAATTCTTAAAGTCATTCCATTTTATCCGTCATATATGAGAAGTATTAGGCTAAGAAGAAAATGGTGCCAGAATAATCAGTGGACTCTCCNTAGAAGGGATGGGAGTGGGTAGCTCCAGAACATTTCTCAAAGTGGTGCCAGAATAATCAGTGGACTCTCGTTGATCTGGCAAATGAGTGTGCTGATTATGTTTTTAAATTTTTGTATTGTGACATATTTGTACTTATTTATTTATTAGATTTCTATCCCGGCCATCTAAACCAAAGGTACAGAGGAAGTTGAAAAAAGGAGATTAATTAAAGAGGCTGGACACTTGTTTTTCCTTTGTTGAGCTTCGTGCACCACAATCTGTATGTTTAAATAGCAATGAAATTAAATAGCAACTATTTTGCAAAATAGTTTGCATTTTTAACAGAAAAGTGAGAGGTTCCACTGTAAAACTCAAGTTTGTTTTACAAACTGAACTGTGTGGTCTGAGAACCAGAGAATTCAATGGACCTTACTCCGATAACTATCCATAGGAATGTAGTTATTCTCCACAAATGTCTTTTTAGTTTGTTTTTTATTTAAAAGAGAGATTACAACTCACATAATCTAAATGATCAATGGCTGGAGAAGATGGGTTTAAAATTATAAAATATCTGGAGGTTGCCAAGTTGTAGAAGGATCTGGAGGACTACAGGTTCCCACTAGAGAATTTAATTGCTTGCTAGAGTGTTTGCAATTGAAGTGAGCTTTTCGGTCAGTTACACTGAAAATAGATCTAACTTTTAATCTTAAATGTCCTAAAATAGTGTCTGACACCATGCAAAGGACATTTTGGCTCTGATATATGTGTCTGGACACCCCTGGATTTCAGACAAAATGTTTCTGCAAAATTGGCCAGGTTTACATTTTCTTAATTCAGCTGGACATGTGGAAGCCAAATTTGTAACCTTATCC